ACACTGGTCAGGCCGCAGTTGGAGTTCTGCGTCCAGTTCTGGGCGCTGCACTTCAGGAGGGATGTGGACAACATGGAGAGGGTCCAGAGGAGGGCCACTCGTATGATCAGGGGACAGCAGGGCAGGCCCTATGAGGAGAGGCTGCGGGACCTGAACCTGTTCAGCCTCCACAAGAGAAGGCTGAGGGGAGATCTAGTGGCTGTTTATAAACTAGTCAGGGGGGACCAACACACTGGGGGAGTCCCTGTTTCCCCGAGCACTACAGGAGTGACAAGAAATAACGGTCACAAGCTGGCAGAGGGTAGATTTAGGCTAGATATCAGGACACCTTACTTCACTGTCAGGGTGGCTAGGATCTGGAACCAACTTCCAAGAGAAGTGCTGGCTCCTACCCTGAGGGTCTTTAAAAGGAGGCTGGATAAGCATCTTGCTGGGGTCGTTTGACCCCAGTACTCTTTTCTGCCTGTGGCAGGGGGTCGGACTTGATGATCTGCTCAGGTCCCTTCTGATCCTACCAACTATGAAACTATGAGGTTGTGCCTCGCGCGGAGATGTGCAGTGCTGGCTGGAGCCATGACCCACGGGGCACCTGCACTCTGAGCACCCCGCCTGCTGCTGCTGCTGCCTGCCGGGGCTGTGCACCATGGGGGAGTCTGCAGGCATCCCCATACTTCCCACCCTCCTTCACACCCACGCACTGCCCACCTGAGCTCCACGCTGCTGCCACCCCCTTGAGCGTGGGCTCTGGGCTGCTACCAGCCTAGCTGCAACCCCATGCTCTGTACTCTTGCTTAGCTGCAGCCCTGCCCCCGCTGCTTCCTATCTGCTGCCTGGAGCCAGCAGGAGACTGGGGAAGCGGAGCAGGTCCCTGGGGCCTGCAGCAGCAGCATCCCCATGCAGAATTTGCACACTGGCTGGACCGGGCCCTTCCGCCCACGAGGGTTGGAGGGAGGCAATAGGGTATGTTGTGGGGGGGAGGGGTGTACATGTGGGCATCTTGCTCCCACCCGCATGGGTGGGGGAAGGGCTGGGAGGGGCACAATTTGTTGATGGGCGCTGCAGGCCAGACCTGGCCCACCAAGCACTTTCCAGCCCCCAGGCAGTGTTTCGCCTGCCCCTGCTTTAACTAGTGACTTGTGGGGAAGAGGGGGAGGAATTGACTAAATATTTAGACTTTGGCGTTCCTTTTCTAGGATTACAGCAGCAGAAATTTTGAGGTAGTGGTGCTTTACCTGAACCATTTTTTTTTCTTTTCCTGCTTTCTGTTCACATGCTAAGGTTTACTACCTTTTATTCTCCTCTTGAAATGACTTATTTTCCTTCCTTCTCCTCTTTTGAATTTTTTAACATTTACTCCCTTCTTTACGTCTTTCCTTGTTACTGCCATGTTATAGCAGCTTTATCCTGAAGGATTAACAAAAAAAGTGGTACCAGGGTTTGACTTGATAATATTATCCAAGCATATATACATTTCTCCCCTTACTGGAGTAAATGAAGAATATGTGCATTTCTAAGCTAGTCTTGCAGGATATGAAAACTGAAATAGATGGCTCCCATCCAGCAGGGGTGGCAGTTCAGGGAACAGTTGTTTAAATATTATACTACCTGAAAAGGACAAACCCCTGTGAGACACAGCAGGGGGTTTTGCCATTGGCAACATGGCAGGAGCACAGTTTTCCTGCTCTTTTTTCCTTCTTTCTGGTAGGGAGCAGCATTGCTCTATAACTGCCTGAATAAGCATTGCACAACTTGACTGTCTTGATACCATCTTTTCCTCCTTTTGTGTCTAAGTTTATCAAAGTGTTCTGTTTACAATGACTGCCCTGAGTTCCTCTAGTCCAAGTCTATTATGGACCCTTTCCAGTTGGGTTTCTCTCTCTTGTGTCTTAGTGAAACTGCTGTTACTATTACATTTTTAGCCAACTCTCAGAACAAGCACTCCATCCACATCCTCCTTGAATTGTAAGCCACTTTCAACACTGTAGACTATGCTCTTCTTGAAATCTTTGTCTCCTGAGACTCACCCCTCTTCTGGTTCTCCTTTTACTTCTTTAATAATTCCTTCATCTTTATCTGTTAGAGGATCCATCTCTTTCTTCCTCCAACTTTTTGTGATCATTCCACTTTGTCCTAGACTCCTCTTCTCCATCATGGGACATCATTGCCATCCTGATCAGTCCTGTACCCTGAGTGTCCTCTTCAGCCTTGAGCTGTGTCTGGGTCTTCATACCTGGGTTATCTTTTAAGGCTTGTAGATTCTTTGTGTGTAATATCTCCAAGATAGGTTCTTTTCTGTCCACCACATAGATAAAAGTCTTGTTGCAGTAAGCTGAGAAGATCCGGGACATTTTTTCTCTGACCTTGAGTGTAGCTACACTGCATGTGTTGTAGCCATCCAGGAAGCTTCTTTTGAAGATAATTTCCTATGTCACACCTCTCTGTGGATTGCTCTGTTGTCTCAAACATAATGAGCTGTTTGTCTTCATTTTCAAAGCCCTTCACAGACTATCCTTTCCCTTATTCAGTATCAAGAGACAGACTCCACCCTGTGATCATCCAGTGTTGTCTGCTTCCATGACACATTAGCTTTTTCAAACACCTGCCTTTGTGCTTTTCTTTTGCTGCCTTTCATTCTTGGGAATTATCATAAATATCTGAAAATCTACTTCATTTCCCTTCAAACATCCCCTCCTCTCCCCACCCCCCCAACCAAACACACATGCACACAGTTAAGACCGTTCAGTGCCGTGGTGCATATAAAGAACTTTATAGTGGTTATGCTGGTGATTTGCTATGGATACTGTTTATCATTCTGTTTGGTAGGGCTGTGCAAAGCTTTGGTCCCTGATTTGATTCGGTGGCTGAATCGCTGAATCTGAATCGAATCAGGAGACCCTTTAATCTCTCCGAATTGAATTAGAACCCTTTGAATTGATTTGGAAAGATTCAACGATTCAGACATAGACACAGCTTTAAATGGTTTTTGTACATACCTCAAGGTACCAGGTGGCTCGTGAATGCTGAAATGGTAGGGCGGATGGAGTGTCCCATAGGAGCATGGGGTGCTCCCCGGTGTGCTCCTATGGGATGCAGAAGTGGACTAGAAGCACTTCCATTCTACTTCCAGGTCTGCCAGGGAGCATGTGGGCCCCCCCCCCCCCCCCCCCCCCCCTGGCTT